GGACTTGGAGGCGGCACTGGCCAAGGTGGGCCCCCGGGCCACCCCCAAGGACCTGGACTCGTATGTGGAGTGGGACAAAATGTACGGCTTCGGACACTGACGGCGCGGGGGGGAGGCGCGGGAGCCGCCACCCCTCCCTCCCCGGTCCTGGGAGGGATGTCTGTAACCCACCTGGCTGGGAGGGTGCCGTGATGAATGTGGGGAGGGAGGAAAGGGGGCTGTTGGTGGAGTTTTTTTTTTTTTTCCGTGGGAAGGAAAATGCTTCTGCTAGGCAGATAGATGCCATATGCGCTGTGTACTCAGGTTTTTTCTATTTATTGTGGACGGGAAGCTTGCCATCTCCGCACCTCAGACGGGCAAGTCTGCCTGGGGGGCCTAAGGAACTCCTGCGCTCTCACCACAATTCTTGTGTCTCCTCGCTATCTGGATGCCTCCCTCCTCCTCCCCCCACTCTCCCCTCTTTCCTCCCATTCGCTTAGTTTTCTCTCTGCCTTATTGTCACCACTCCTCCAACCCCCCCCCCATCCTGGCCCAGTTTCTCGTTTGCTCCTCCCTCCCCTATCTCCATCTATCACCTTCTGCTCTGTCTCCATCCCTTGCTCTCTAGCTTCGGTGCCTCTTGGTCCTTCTCCCTGCCTTCTGTCCCTCTCATTCAAAGACTGCAGTGTCCCTTTGCAGGAGATCTGGAGGTCCCGCAGCCGAGGAGGAGGGGACAGGGAGTTCCCTCCCACCCCGTTACCCAGCTGAAACCTGGGTCTGGGGGGAGGTGTCAAGCAAAAACCACCCAAAGAAGGGCTTGTTGATGTTTGTTTTTGAGGGGGGAATCCCAGGAATGTAGCTTGTTTAATATTTAGGCCTCTTATTTTTGTAAGATGTGTAGAACTTGCTGTTTTTCTTTTTCTTTTGACAACTCAGGAAGAAACTGACCTCAGAAAGAATGTTAGACGTTGGCTACTCTCCTGTGTGATCCCACCACCCACCCTACCCCTCAGGGGAGCACATTCTCCCGGAAGACTTGGAAAGTGAGACTTGTGGGGCAGGGCGGAGGAGGACCCAGGGCTACACTTAGACCCCTGCTCTTCCTGGGACGGAGGGAAGCAGAATGTATTTGTAGGCTTCCTCCCAGTCCAAGGTTGTAGGCAGGGGTGCTGGGGAGCGTGTTGTGGGATTTGAGAGTAGGTGAGTCTGGCCCCCTTTCTGCTACTCTTCCAGCGGGGTCCCACTCTCAGTTTGGTGTGTTCTGTGAAGGGTTAACCAGTGTCCTCGCCCACTTCCTGCCCCAGACCCAGAGGAGCTGAGAGGCCCCAGTGGGAAGGTGACAGAGGCAGAAAGTCCTCAGAGAGGTCAGCCCACCTGGCCACTGACCAGGCAGAGGTCTCCTGTAATCCAGGCTAAGGGGATTGCCTCTGGAGGGAAAGACAGTTTGGCCACAAGTTTGGTTGGGCACAAAACTGACTACAGACTCAACCTTCCCTGTCCGCTAGGAGGCTCTGATGAGCAGTGAGCATCCGACACAGGAGAGGTTCTGTGGGGAATATTCCTTTCTTGTTCTCCTAGGGTCGAGGTCTTGGCAGGCAGTGTGAGGGGGGCAGGCAGTGTGAGGGGGGCTGGCAGTGTGAGGGGGTGGGCTGTTTTATGCTAACGTTGGGGGTTTATTCTCCGTCACACCCACACTTTCCACCAGAAGCCCAGGCTTGGGCTCTCTCCTGAGAACCACATTCCTCCTCTTCCTACCAACTTCCCTTGATGGGGCTTCAGCCGCTCGCCACCTCCCCCTCGGGAGCCCATTCACAACTCTGACCTTTGGTCCAAAGTTGGGGGGGAACAGACCCACACCCCTAACTTCTTTTCTCTCCCACCCCAGCCTCCCTCCCTGTACCTGCCTGCCCTTTCAGCTGCTACAGTCTCTGCACCGCCTCCCCCTCCCAGCTGGAAGGGTGTGCAGGGGGAGCATTCGGGTGCTAAGGTGCTGAGTGCCACCAGGAAAGCTGCTCTGTGTTCCCCCTCTTCACGCCTGGTCTCTTGCTGGCCTTCCTCTCCTCTGAGCTGGCTGTTTGCAGGACTGCTGCCTCAGAAGCAGTGGGGTGGGCTGCAGGGTCTTGGCTGGGAAAGGCCCTTAGAGGGAGCCAGGAGTGAGGAGGTTCTCTCAGGTGTGTATGTATATGGGGGAGGGCTTCAGGGAAGTGGGGTTGGGATCCCTTCCCTTCAAGAGGCAGGCGGCTCTGGGGTTGGGGGGCCTCGCTGACTGAGACCCACTGCCTCTTCTACTGGCCTTGGGGAACTTTGCACAAGGAGACATCCCCTAGTCTACTAGCACCTACCTCATGGGCACTGGGTTGGGTGGGGGAAGGCAGGTCCGGCTCTGGCAATGTTGGGGGGGCATACCAAAGAATCCAGGGGCAGGGGTTGGGGGAGGGCAGACACAGCAAGCTGGCCCTCTCCTTCCTCCACCCAGATTGGGGTCGGGGTCCTCTCCTCCAGCTGTAACCATTTCTACCTCATTTTGCTGTGTGTTGTACATGGACGTATTTATCTCCTGTCTGAAGACACTCTGCAGTTGTGGTCTGTCTACCTCAGAAGAGACTGTATTTTAAAAGAAAGTATTACACAGTATTAAAACGATGACATGTGGTCTCCAGAGGATTTCTTGGGGGTAGCAAGGTGTGGGGAGCCCTCTGGGGACTGCGTGGGCATCCAGGCCTGTCAGCGCCCTTGGTGTGGTGCTGTGGGTGTTACTATCCCTTGAGCACAACATGATTGTGGAACCCCTGCTATTCAATCGGGCACAAGCAGTGCCCACCAGGCACTGGGCCCTGAGGCCACCAGGTGAAAGGCCATACTCAGGCTCCAAAAAGCCCCT